AATTAATTTTTAAATCTAAATATTAATATCTAATAAGATAAAATTTTAAATTTTAAATTGAATTTAATTAAATAAAATGATATATTTTAAGATTATGATTTTAATGCTTTTTAGAGTGAGGATTGATATATCTTTTTCTCTTAAATATAATAAGTACATATAAAATTTTAATTATATAAGTAACAAGTTAAACAAGTTGATCAAATAAATCAGAAAAATAATTCTAAACCCTACATTTGTTATGTAATTTAATATTTATGAATATATTATTTTTTATCTATTATTTAGTTATTTTTTCTATAATATAAATATAATATTTATTTAAAAAATAAAATACTTACAGACAACAAATATACTTGTACCAACACGGACCCCAAATCCAAACAAAGGACAATGGTCGAGGCTGCCCGACAGCTCTGCAAATATTTGGGCCTTACAAGCATAGAGCCCGTCGGACCCAAATGGACAAAACAAAACCCATCCTCCATTTCGATCCCTTTTGAAAATATTCGATGCATTAAGGACCGTTAGCTTTGATCTTTGCTCGTTTTGCTCCCTTGAATCCTGGTTCCAGGTGGTGCGACGATGCAGGGAGGACCATCCGGTATCGGCTACGGTCTCAAGTATCAGGTCAACACAATTCCTCTGATTTTCAATCTTCCTGACTCAGAATTGATCATAATATCCTAGTTCGTGCTCGCGGGCCAGATGCATTTCCGATGTCAAGGCAGACACAGATCACACCAGCTTCATCACCGGAACTCTCAGCCTCAAAGAAGACAACGAGGTTCTACTTGATTTATACTTCAGTTTCTCAATCGGAGTGCTGCATTTGGTAATTCGAACTGAATGTGTTGGTATCTGGCAGGTGCATTTGATTCGGTTCTCTTCCGACCGAACGGAGCTCAAATGTGAGGGCTTGTTTTCGCATCCTAATGAGATCTGGGATCTCGTTTCGTGCCCCTTTGATCAACGCATGTTGTCCACTGTTTTCTTTACTGGTAACTGTTATTTTTCTTTTTTATGTTTATTTTGTCATTCAATCACCCATTTCCATTTGGACTTGATCCCTGAACATTGTTGCATTAGATTGTCACTGGTTTTGACAATTCTACAGCTTCGTTAGATCTTTAACTGCTAGAAACAGCAAAATGGATGCAAAACTTCACTTAGTATGTCATTGGATCTTTTTATAGACTTTCTGTCGAAACTATGCTGTTGCTTTGTATTGGAATATGTGGAATCCAGTTTTGTAACTCAATTCCATGATTTCCGTCCTATAATTCCATCTTCTAGGAAAAATGTTTAATTGTTTAATCATCAGGGTGACGTTTATCAATTCAGGATCAGTTTTTACATGTAGGCATATCATTTTTGCTTTCTGTTAGACTTGTGTGAAATTCAGTGGGTCAAAAGATAAGGGATTTTTGTCTTTGCTTTGGGCAACGTTAAAAAAAAATGATGGGGGACTTTTCAATACCTTTTCCATTGTTGAAGGTGAATCATATGGGGCAGCAATACGGCCAATACCTGAGTTATATGGTCAGTTAAATTCATCCTAGTTATAGGTTGTACAGAATCCAATTTTATTAGTATGTACAAATTAGATGGAAAACAATCATTCTCCTTAAATTAAAATAAGACAAAGGTGTGCCATTTTGATATCTATATAAAAAAAAGACCAATAGCAACAAATTCAAGTGAACAAAACACAAATGACTAAAAAATTACAAATGATTGATTGATTTTAATAAGGACACTGGATACAAACATATACTTGAAAAACACAAGAACATAAAAATTTTCATGTAACTAAGTACTTGCTATGATTTAAGCTAGTGTCTAACATTTTCATCTTTGTAGTTGTTGATGTATGTTGTTCTAGATAGTTCGACGCAAGATATGACATCTGGAACAATGTTAAGTAATGCCATCACTATCCATCAATGAGTTTTAAATTCAATTGTGTTGAATAATAGTGATAGATCTATGGGAAATGACGTACGAAACTAAACCCACCAAAGCACATAATAGGTTACCACGACCAGCCATTCTCTATAGTACACTTGGGGTTTGAAACCAACCAACACCACAATACCATATGTGGTGACAGATTGAATAGCCTAAATCTTATCTTTAATTCCTTTGGTATTTGTAAAGGGTGGAAACATATCTTTGGGAAAAGAGCTTCGTAACCAGAAATAGAAAATGATATAATTGATTACTGCAAATAACCAATCTTTATAATTGGCCATGGGAGATGCGATAAGAGCACACTTGAACATGGCATGTGCAATATTTACAACCATCAAAGTCAAACCATTGATTCGTTTGGTATTTGTAGAGGGCATTGAGCTATATTTGGAATTATGATAGGACTTACAGAGACTTCAAACCACAATATCGATTGCCTTAACTAACCAGTTTTTATGGTCAAAAGGGTGAGATTTGACATTAGAAGATGCAAAGATGCTATTTGTAAAGTACATAACAGTTGATGAAATAATAAAAAACACACTAGCACTTTTAGTTGTGGTATTTGTACTAGGATCTTCTTCTGAATCCAACCAGTACTTATCTAACCAACTCTTGAAATTGAACAACACAAAATAGATGGAAGCAATTATCCATGTGGGAAACTTCAACTCATAACGGTGTAAGTAATAGATCCAATGACTCCAATGATAAAACCAAACAACCCAAGGTCTATTTGCGGTTGTAATACCACTAGTACACATAGAAGAAAAACTGAGATGCACAACATAGCACTGAGGCTCTTCAAGGAATTATCATAAAATTTTGCAAAAAGAAGTGCTATAATAAAGAAGGTGAAGTTTGATGTTGAATTTACCATGCAGCTACAACTTCCATGAAAAATTTTAAATTGATTCCAATGTTTTGAATGTGTTAACGGGACAAGGCCAATAAGCATCAATAATTGCGTTTTGACTCTTCTATCATATTTTGAACTTAACTTTGTATTCAGTAAAAGAAATATGACGGAGAACATGGGAAGTTTACTAACTAGTTTGGCCTTTAGTTGACCCTTTGCTGCTTCATTGTGGAGATGCATCTCAAGGGCTTCTGATAGATTCTTCATCTTCTCAATAATAGGATCTAGTAGAGATCTCATTGTTGATAGGAAACACACCTTGAGAACTTTCCATTGATTGCTCTCCTCATCTTCAATCCAATCTTGCAAAAGTATTACCTAATAGATAAGACTGGTTATTTTCAATAATGGATGAAACTTGATAACATCCTCACAATCCGTAGCACTGCAATTGAATCTCTCATATCTTCCATTTGGAAGAAAGGTGAGAAAGAACTAGTAGCACGGGTGGTTATTATGATGAATTAATTCTATATGGTGTAAAATAAAAGTTTGTTTCCCCAGTACGAGCTATTGTAGAATTAAAAAAAAAATTCATTGATAATATGTATTAGTCAAAGGTTTTAGTGGAGACATTGATTAGTATTGGAATGTGAATTGGTTCTTCCTTGGTATTGAAATTTGGTGTGGATCTTCAAAGTCGTCATTTGCCACACTTTTTTTTCGAAAATAGGCAATGCATTTGCCGTGCTTCCGGATCATTTGACGTGGGGAGTGGGGACTTCCGGTCACTTTGATTAGTATTGGCATTTGACCGTCACTATCCTTACCAGCCATATTCATTTTCTTCTCATTTGAATGTTGTCCACAGGTACATGCTTTTGCAAATATTTTTTTTAAAAAAAATTTATAATTTTTTAATGAAAAAAATTTTTAACTTTATGATATAGATTAAGAGTATATTATATAATAAGTCAAATAGTTGGATTCACTAATATACAAATATCATCTTGTAGATCACATTTAGAGTTCAAGTTTTCACATCAGCGCTTAAGAATATTAATTTTTTTTAATACACCAAGCAAAGTGAGTAGCCCTTAAAATTGCTTGAAAAAAGATTAATCTTAAAATAAATAAAAGCAAATGTCTAATTAATTTTATTTCTATAAAAGTAAACCATAGTTTTAAGCTAATATTATCTAAATAGTTTTAATTAAACATTTGATAAAATTAAAGGGATAGGGGATTTAACCAAAGTTTTATATTAAAATTTAATATGAAGAATCATTTCTCATATGATATGAGATAACCCATTCTTGTCAAACCCCTACTTCACCTATTTTAGAATTTGAGAAAAAAAAAACTTCCAACATAAATGTTCAAATTTCACCAAAAAAATAATGATGAAATGTTCAAGTTCTTAACCCCTAAAACATTTGCTAAAGATGTTGCGTGATTCATCCATGTGTGCACGATTGATTCATGTGAAAATTACCAATAAAAGGTTTTAAAATTGTTAATATGCTGTCCGTACATTATCAAATTATTAGCCCTTTCCTCTCATAAGCCACAAACTTAATGCATTAGGAGGCATTCATATCAATATGCTCCAACTTGGCTATGTCCTCCATGTCCATTGTAATGCAAAATGTCTAATGGCCTGTTTGGGAATTTGAATTTGATTAGAGTGTATTTGAATTTGGAGCTCCAAATTTAAATATATTGTTTAGTTTTACTTAAATGCAATGTAATGGAATTTCATCTAAATATATGTATTTGAAACATTGTATTTTAAAGTTAAAATTACATATATTTCAAATACATCCTTTAATTTGAAATTTTTGTATTTCATCAAAATTAAAAAGTGTTCTTATTAGATAGATATTCAATTTAAATAATAATTAAAAGTGGGTTTAATTTAACAAGAAATTCAATTTTAAATACACAACATTTTAATATATCCAAATAATGTATTTGAAATTTATTTTTTTAAAATTAATTCAAACAATGTATTTTAAATATATGTATTTCAAATACACATATCAAATATAAATACGCGTTTTCAAACACAACCTTAGAACTTTTAACGTTAGGCAAAAATTATTGGATAAAATATAATTATTAATGGAAAAAAGGAAAATTAGGATGTCATGAAATTAAAATTGTTAGGATGTCTAATAATTGTTACATGATGAATGTGATAAACTTAGGGCCTACGCTATATCCCACACATTTAATGGTTGTAATTAGATGTCCTGATATTTTTAATGTCAGAACGTCTTGCTTTTTCTTTTTCTCATTTTTAATACAAGAAATTTTAATTTCATTCAATAATTTAAATTATATAATTTAATACAATACTGAGTATGCAATAGTTGCTCAAACTTTTATAAAGTATCAAAAAAATTTCAATTGCAACTCACATGAGTGTAGTTATGACCATTAATAAATTATTAGGTTAAACTCCTAATTTGGTCCATGAATTATTGTAAAGACCCTCGATTTGGTCTCAATTGTTTACTGATTTAGCCTCAAGTTGGTCCTCCCATATAAAAAACAATTGACATATTTGTTACTTAACATCGAAAAACAGTTACTTACCAATCACGTGTCATATTAATAATGAGATATGTCAACTGTTTTTTATATGAAGGACCAACTTGTAGCAAATTAGTAAACAGTAAAGATCAAATTGGGATCGGTACAATAGTTCAGGAACCAAATAATGGATTTTTTGTTAGTTCAGGAACTAAATCAAGGTCTGTACAATAATTTAAAGACCAAATTAGGAATTTAACCAAATTATTAAGGCTATTAAATTATATTTAATTTAATTGATATTCATAAATTTTTTAAATAGATAATTATAATATTTAAAAAAATTAATGTATAAATTAATTTTAATTTATTAAATAATAAATAATAAATATTAATTATTTTTAATTATTAAATAAAAATTATTATTTTTTAATACAATTTTAATAACTTTAACCATTTTATTAATTACCACAAAAAAGAACTCTAACGCACACGCTCACATTTTTTAATGCGACTTGCCATCAAGGTCATAACAAATCCGTACGAAAAAGTAAAAGCTTCTATAAGTTGTGAAATAAGAAGGGCAACAATATTCTGGCGTACTACCAACGAGGAGTTGAATCGAATAGTAAGTGATTTATTTTAGTTTAAATAAAATTTTGAGTTTGAGACTTTGTATTCGCAGCAGCCCCCATTGGGAGATTCACCATTTTCAGGTGCGCGACGCGGGTCAGATCCAAATTAATTAGAGCGAAACCCTGAATACTAGACGAGAAACTAAAAAAAAAAAAACAATATTCTGGCGTGGTGGCAGCAAGCCTTAATTATAGCCAGGGTATTCGGTCATGAAAGTAGTGTCACTTTTACATTTTCTGTATTTATGTTTCAAAATGAAGTTGCAATTATTGTAGTTAATAGGGGTAACTGAAAATTTAGAATAATTTAGAATATCACCTTTCTGGTATGCTATCCCATTGCAGGGAGTAGGTGAGGCTAATTCCTTCTATAAAGACAAGGATAGTTTTTTCGAAACACATGGTCAATGTTTGGTTAGTAGTAGTGGTTATTCTTTGATCAAATTATAAGTATGATAAATTTTATACATTTATTTCTTAAGGTAAGAATAATTAAGCTTTAATGTTGATAAATTTGTACCAAAACTAAGTAATGAATGAGGAATATGTATTTTTTATATCTTTTATATAATATTTTTGGGTTAAAGAGAATGAGAGAGAGAGGAGGGGAAAGGAAAAAATTCTCCTCTTTATTTTTTTCTTTTAATTGTGTTATTTATTCAAAGAAGAAGAAGGGAAGAAAGGGGAATGAAAGGATATAATACCATCCTCTTCTTGCCCCCCTCCCCTCCCCCTTCTATTTTCCTTAATCTAAATATAAAGGAATATGTATCATTGATTCTTTACTAATTATTAAAAAAAAAAGAGAAAGAAAATTCGACATTAGAGTTGAATCCTTTTTAACTTTCAATGGAAATTTATTAATTTTTCCATTGTTGAAGGTGAATCATATGGGGCAGCAATATGGCAAATACCTTAGTTATATGGTCAGTTAAATTCATCCCAGTCATAGGTTGTACAAAATCCAATTTTATTAGTATGTACAAATTAGATGGAAAACAACCATTCTCCTTAAATTAAAATAGGATAAAGGTGTGCCATTCAATGAATTCAAATGAACAAAACACAAATGACTAAAAAATTATAGATGATTGGTCGATTTTAATAAGTACACTGGATATAAACATATACTTGAAAAGAAGATGACACAATTTTCATCTATCTACTTACTATAATTTAAGCTAGTGTCTAACATTTTCATCTTTGTAGTTGTTGATGATATATTGTTATAGACAGTTCGATCAAAGATATGACATCTGGAACAATGTAAAATAATACCATCACTATCCACCACTGATCTTTAAATTCAATTGTGTTGAACAATAGTGACAGATCTTTGGGAAATGATGTACGAAACTAAACCCACCAAAGCACATAATAGGTTACCACAACCAACCATTCTCTATAGTACACTCGAGGTTCGAAACCAGCCAACACCACAATACCATATTTGGCGACAGATTGAATAGCCCAAATCTTATCTTTAATTCCTTTGGTATTTGTAAAGGGCGAAAACATATCTTTGGGAAAAGAGCTTCGTAACCAGAAACAAAAAATAATATAACTGATTACTACAAATAACCAATCTTTATAATTGGCCATGGGAGATGTGAGAAGAGCAAACTTGAACATGGCATGTGCAATATTTACAACCATCAAAATCAAACCATTGATTCGTTTGGTATTTGTAGAGGGCATTGAGTTATCTTTGCAATTATGATTGGACTTATAGAGACATCGAAGCACAATACCGATTCCCCTAACTAACCACTTTTTATAGTCGGATAAGGGAGATTTGACATTAGAAGACAAGAACACAATTTGTGCAAAATATAAAGCAGTTGATGAAAAAATAGAAAACACACTAGCACTTTCAGTTGTGGTATTTGTACCAGGATCTTCTTCTGAATCCAACCAATACTTATCTAACCATCTTTTGAAACTGAACAACACAAAACAGATGGAAGCAATTATCCATGTGGGAAACTTCAACTCATAACGGTTGTAAGTAATAGATCCAACGACTCCAATGATAAAACTAAACAACCCAAGGTCTGTTTGTGGTCGTAATACCACTAGTACACATAGAAGAAAAACTGAGATGCACAACATAGCACTGAGGCCCTTGAAGGACTTATCATAAAATTTTGAAAAAAGAAGTGCCGTAATAAAGAAGGTGAAGTTTGATATTAAATTTGTCATGCAACTGCATCTTCTACGAAGAATTTTAAATTGACTCCAACGTTTTGAATGTGTTAACGGGCCAAGGCCAATAAGCATCAATAACTGCATTTTGACTCCTCTTCTATCATATTTTGAACTTAACTCTGTATTCAGTAAAAGAAATATGGCGGAGAACATGGCAAGTTTACCAACTAGTTTGGCCTTTAGTTGACCCTTTGTTGCTTCGTTGTGGAGATGCATCTCGAGGGCTTTTGATAGATTCTTCATCTTCTCAATAATAGGATCCAGCAGAGATCTCATTGTCGATTGGAAATACACCTTGAGTGCTTTCCATTGATTGCTCACCTCCTTTTCAATCCAATCCTGTAAAAGTATTACCTGATAGATAAGACTGGTTATTGTCAATAATGGATGAAACTTGATAACCATCCTCACAATCTGTGCTATTGCGATTGAATCTCTCATATCTTCCATTTGAGAGAAAGGTGAGAAAGAAATGGTAGCACAGGTGATTATTATGATGAATTAATTCTAAATGGTGTAAAATAAAAGTCTGTTTCCCCAGTATGAGCTGGTGTAGAATTAAAAAATAATTCATTGATAATATGTATTAATCAAAGGTTTTAGGGAGACATTGATTACTATTGGAATGTGGATTGGTTCTTCCTTGGTATTGAAATTTGGCGTTGATCTTCAAAGTCGTCATTTACCACGCTTTTTCTTCTTCTTCCTTTTTTTTTTTTTTTTAAATAGGCAATGCATTTGCCGTGCTTCCGGCTCATTTGACGTGGGGAGTGGGGACTTTCGGTCACTTTGATTAGTATTGGCCTTTGACCGTCAGTTTCCTTACTAGCCATATTCATTTTCTTCTCGTTTGAATGTTGTCCAAAAGTGGATGCTTTTGCAAATACTTTTTTTAAAACATTTATAACTTTTTAATAAAAAAAATTTAAAATTTTATGGTATAAATTGAGAATATATTATATAATAAGTCAAATAGTTGGATTTACTAATATATAAGTATCGTCTTGTAGGTTACATTTAGAGTTCAAGTTTTCACTTCAACACTTAAGAATATTAAATTTTTTTTAATATACCAAGCCAAGTGAGTGATGTGTCTTGTCTAATTAATCTTACTTCTATAAAAAAATTAATCTTAAAATAAGCAAAAGCAATTGTCTAATTAATTTTACTTCTATAAAAGTAAACCATAGTTTTAAAACTAATACTATCTAAATAGTTTTAATTAAACATTTGATAAAATTAAAGGGATAGGGGATTTAACCAAAATTTTATTTTAAAATTTGATATGAAGAATCATTACTCATATAATATGAGATAACCTACTCTTGTCAAACCCCTTCTTCACCTATTTTAGAAATTGAGGGAAAAAAAAACGTCCAACATAAACATTCAAATTTCACCCAAAAAATTAATGATCAAATGTTCAAGTTCTTAACCCGTAAAACATTTGCTAAAGATGTTGCGTGATTCATCATGTGTGCACGATTGATTCATGTCAAAATTACCAATAGAAGGTTTCAAAATTGTTAATATCCTGTCCGTACATGATCAAATTATTAGCCCTTTCCTCTCATAAGCCACAAACTTAATGCATTAGGAGGCATTCCGATCAATATGCTCCAACTTGGCTATATCCTCTATTTCCATTGTAATGCAAAATGTCTAATGGCATGTTTGGGAACTTGAATTTGGTTAGAGTGTATTTGAATTTGGAGCTCCAACTTTAAATACATTGTTTGTTCTTACTTAAATATAATGTATTTGAATTTTGTCTATATACATGTATTTGAAACCTTGTATTTCAAAATTAAAATTACATGTATTTCAAATACATCCTCTAATTCATGAATTTTATTCTAAATTTTTGTATTTCATCAAAATAAAAAGTATTCTTATTAGATAGATATTAAATTTAAATAATTATTAAAAGAGGGTTTAATTTAACAAAAAATTCAATTTTAAATACACAACATTTTAATATATCCAAATAATATATAATAGGTTTTTATACCAAGTTGTTAATGAATTGAAAATTTTTAATTTTATTAATAAATTTATC